GATGGATGGATGGATGGATGGATGGATGGATGGATGGATGGTTGAATGAATGAGTGAATGGACGGATGGATAGATAGATGGATGGTTGAATGAATGGATGGATGGTTGAATGAATGGATGGATGGTTGAATAAATGGATGGATGGATGGATGAGTGGATGGATGGATGGATGGGTGGATGACTGGATGAAAGGATGAATTGATGGGCAGATTGGTGGATGGGTGAATGGATGGATGGATGGTTGAATAAATGAGTGGATGAATGGGTGAGTGGGTAGATGGAGGGATGGATGGATGGGTGGGTATGTGGATGAATGGGTAGATGAGTAGATAAATGGATGGTTGAATGGGTGAATAGGTAGGTGGATGGGTGGGTAGAGATGGATGGGTGGATAGGTGGATGGGTACATGAATGGATGGATGGGTGAATGGGTGAGTGGATAGATAAATGGGTAAGTGGATGAATGGACAGGTCAGTGGATAGATAGATGGTTGAATGAAAGAGTGGATGAATGGGTGAGTGGATGGATGGATAGATGGATGGATGAATGGACAAATGGATGGATGGGTGGATGGACAGACGAATTGATAGGTGAGCGGACTGATGGGTGGGTGGATGGATGAGTGGACAGATGAATGGGTAAGTGGGTAGGTGGGTAGGTAGATGGATGGATGAATGACTGGATGGATGGATTTATGAATGAGTGGGTGGGTAAGTAGATAAATTGATGGGGAGTGGATAGATAGACTGATGGATGTGTGGGTGCTGGTTACCTGACTTTGGACTCCAAAAGCACTAACCGAGGAGAATGGAGACTCCCAGGACTGGGTGAACCCCAACCTTCTCGGGCTCACATTTACTATCTTCCCACCTGGCAGAAGAAAACATTTCCTGACCATCTTCACAAAACCCCCCAAAATACTTATCACTGAAGGGTTGACTCTTCTTGCCAGGGAGTCAAGAGGGACTTTGCTATCCTGATTTCTCACAGGCAACAGGTGGTCACATGCAGAGACTACAGTCAACAGGCCTCAGGCAGAACAAACTGTGCACTGGCCATCCTTGAGACAACAGAGCCAGCCCTCCCATGAGGGCTTCCCTGACCCTGATCCCTCCGCCCAGCCCTGCCTGGCAACTCCTGGAGGCTGGCTCATCCATATCCCTTCTCTTGCAGGCTCTCCAGTAATAGTATTGGTGATGGAGGTTCCAAGGCCCTGGCCGAGGCCCTGAAGGTGAACCAGGGCCTGGAGAGCCTGGAGTGAGTCCACCTGACCCCTGCCAGGGTGACGAGTCCCCCTGCGTTCTCTTTCCAGTAGATGGTGGGCTGGCAGTCCTGAAATATGGCTGTCCCCCAGGGCCATTTCCCTGCCAACATCAACCCTGGGTACACACTGCCCTCAGTGCCCCCTGCCCCACTAGCTCCATTTCCCTAGACAGTGGGGGCTGGGGTGGAGTCTGGAGTGTTTGGAATGATGAGCTCCAAGTGTCCTTGAGAAGCCAGCATGGGTGGCTAGAGAGGGAGTCAGCTGTAGCAGCTTTGGTGGGGGCAGGAGAGCTCAGCGCTGCACCTACACTTGGGGAGCCTGCTGCACCACTCCCTCTGGGGGCTGCAGACCCAACACACCCTGCTCTGAGGCTGTCTGGGGCCACCCACATCAAGGCAGGGTCTAAATTTGGGGGTTTGTTGCGCTAAACCCACCTGCCCTCACCTGGCAGGGGCTAGGTGAGGGGATGGGCAAGGAAAGAGAGATGAGGAGAGGAGCAGTGTGGCTGCCACTGTCCCTGGAGCCCCCAACTCCCTGTTGAACCCAGTGCCTGCTGTCCCAGACTGGACAGGGCAGCTCCCTCTGGGTCCTGCGACAGCCACACCCAGGGTGCCTCCTTCTCTGTCCGCAGTCTGCAGAGCAATTCCATCAGTGACGCAGGAGTGGCAGCACTGATGGGGGCCCTCTGCACCAACCAGACCCTCCTCAGCCTCAGGTAAGTCCCGGCCACCCTCTCCAAACATGGCGTTTCTTTGACCAGGCACCTGTCTGCAGGGACTTGGCACTGGGAAGCCTGTCTCAGGGATATCTATTGCTGGGGAAGCCTTCCTGGCAGCCTGGCCCTCTTCCTGATCTCTTGGGGTGCAGGGGACAGCTGCTGCCCGCAGTGGCCCATTCTGCTGCTCCCTTCCCAAATGCACGCTGAGCCACCTGTCCCCTCGCACCTCTGGGGCCCTGTCATCCTATCCTCTCCCTGTACTGTGGATGGTCCTAAAGCGGGGGCGCCTGGCTGGCCCAGCACTGGCTCGTTGGCATTGGCTCCTTCACACCTCAGCCCAGACTGTGCAGAACCCTAGGTCCCCTGCCTACAGTTTCTTGGCCTTCCAGAAGCCTAAACACCTGGGCTTGGCTCTGCCAGATGCCTCATCTGCCCGGTCAGAAGCTCAGGTCTTCCCTTTTTTTTCAGCCTTCGAGAAAACTCCATCAGTCCCGAGGGAGGCCAGGCCATCGCTCATGCCCTCTGCACCAATAGCACCCTGAAGAACCTGGAGTACGTGGTGGGGGCCTGTGACTCCACAGGCTGTTCATGCCATGACCACACCCACACTGAGCCTGGGCTGACGGGCACCCTCGCTGCATCACAGGGTTGGAGAAGGAGCTGACTGGGGAGGGTGCAGCCAGGCTACCTGGCATCAGGTGGCAAGTCCCCCACTCTCATAGTGTAAATTGCATGAGGGTGAGGCTGGTATGACACCATCTGCCTCACCTGGTGGGGATGGATGAGGATGTGATCATGCCATTGGGCAGCGTATCCCCAGGAAGCTCCCCCACGTCCTGGCTGTGTGACCTGGCATTGAGCCCTGGAATCCCTGGTGACCAAGGACCAGAGGCTTCACAGCCAGCCCCCCGCTCACTTGCTCCTGTTCCCTTTCTCCTAGCCTGACAGCCAACCTCCTCCACGACCAGGGTGCCCAGGCCATCGCAGTGGCAGTGAGAGAAAACCGCACCCTCTCCTCCCTTCAGTGAGTCTGCAGCTCTCCACCCTGCCCTGTCCCCCTTCTGCAGAGCTGCCGGGCTCCACCCAAACCAATGATGTACAGGCCAAGCCTGGTTTGGGGACACCCCTTGCAAAGGTCTCAGGGGCTGCCCAGGCTAGACTGCTGCCAGCAGACTGTGCCCCATCCTGTGCTCTCCTGACCCACAGACAGACATGTGTTAAGAGGTGGTCACAGGGTTGCAGGAATTCTCCTGCCACATCCTGCAGGGATTCCACCCCCTGCCATCAGAGCCTCCTTGGCTCTGCCCCAGGGCCACAGAGTCACATAGTCACATGTGTCTGTGTCTGCCCAGCCTGCAGTGGAATTTCATCCAGGCCGGCGCTGCCCAGGCCCTGGGACAAGCACTACAGCTCAACAGGAGCCTCACCAGCTTAGAGTAAGTTGGCCTGCCCAGGGGCTGCAAGGCGGGGGCTGTCGGGGACAGGTGAACCTGCTGGTACCCACCAGGGAGAGGCTCAATCCAGTGACCCTTGGCACACAGCCTCCTCTTCCCTAAGGCCAGCGGGCACGTTTCAGTCCTTGTCTGCCTTTTAAATATATTGGCTGGGTGCGTTGGCTCACGTCTGTAATCCCAGCACTTTGAGAGGCTGAGGCATGTGGATCATCTAAGGTGTCGGGAGTTTAAGGCAAGCCTGGCCAACATGGGGAAACCCCATCTCTACTATAAATACAAAAATTAACCAGGCATGGTGGCACATGCCTGTAATCCCAGCTACTTGGGAGGCTGAAGCAGCAGAATCACTTGAATTTAGGAGGCACAGGTTGCAGTGAGCAGAGATCATGTCACTGCACTGCAGCCTGGGCGGCAGAGCAAGACTCTGTCTCAAAATATATATATATATACACACACACACACACACACACACACATATATGTACACATATATATACACACACACATATATACATATGACGGCTTTATTGAGATATAATCTTCACACCAGATCTGCCCACTTAGTATACAGTTCACTGGTTTCTAGTGTATTCAGTGATGCAACCATCAGAATCAATTTTACAACATTTCCATCACCCCAAAACGAACCCATCCCCGTTAGCACTCACTACCCATTCTCCATTTCCCCCAACCCTGGCAACCACTAATCTACTGTCTCCATGATCTTCCTACCCTGGACACTGCATATAAATGGAATTGTGCGACACATGGCCAAAAATGGAATCATACGACACATGGCCTTTTGCGGCTGGCGTCTTTCATTTGGTGTCAGATTTTCAAGGTTCATCCACATTGTAGCCTGTCTCAGTACATAGTTCCTTTGTAAGGCTGAATGATATCCATTGTATGAGTACACAGGTTTTATTTCTCCATTCATCAGCTGATGGACGTTGGGTTGTTCCTACTTGGCTGTTAGGAACGGTGCTGCTGTGGACCTTTGTGCACAGTTTCTGTGTGGACGTGAGCTTTCCTTCTCCTGGGTGGATATACCTGGGAGTGGAGTCGCTGGGGCGTGAGGGAACTCTAGGTTTAACCCTTGGAGCCTCATTGGTCTTTCTCCTTGACCATTTCTTCTCCTTCAGCTTCCAGGATGTCCCCTCTAGCTGGGCCTTGTCCTCTTTTCTTCTGTTTGGCTCTTCAGTGCAGGGCTCCTCAGGGATCTGTCCCATGTCATCTTCCCTTGCCTGGCATCTCTTTTCCTGGAGCTCTTGTTTCCCTGGGCTCCAGTGATCTTTAAAGTCCTAACGACTCCCATGTGCATGTCCCAGGCCTCTCACCTGAGCCCCAGACCGGCACGTCCACACTCCCTCTGCACCTCCCCTCAGGGTCTTGCTGGGGTGCGGGGTCCCTGCATTCTCTCTCCCAAAAACCTGCTTCTTGGTTCCCCATCTTGTGAATGGAACCAACTGTGCAAGCTAGAAACAAGGACTTCACTCTCACCTCCCACTTCCTTTTCTATGGTTTTTATTTTACTTTATTTTTGAGATGGAGTCTCTCTGTTACCCAGGCTGGAGTGCAGAGGCATGATCTCAGCTCACTGCAACCTCTGCCTCCTGGGTCCAAGCGATTCTCCTGCCTTAGCCTCCCGAGTAGCTGGGACTACAGGTGTCCAACACCACGCCTGGTGTTTTTTGTTTTTTGTTTTTTTTAATAGAGATGGGGTTTCACTATGTTGGTCAGGCTGGTCTCGAACTCCTGACCTTTAAGTGATCCTTCCACCTTGGCCTCCCAAAGTGCTGGGATTGCAGGCGTGAACCACCACATCCACATTATTTTTTTAAAATAATATTTACATTTTTTTTTAAGAGATGGGGCCTCACTATGTTGCCCAGGCTGGTCTCGAACTCCTGGGCTCAAGCGATCCTCCCACCTTGGCCTCCCAAAGTCCTAGGATTACAGGTGTGAGCCACTGTGCCTGCCCACCTCCTGCTTCCTATTCACTGTCAAGTCCTGTTGGGTCAGTCCCCTCTGTGTCCCTGCCACCCACTCAATTCCCTTTGCGGCCACGGACCCCACCCAGGCCATCGGCACCACTCACCTCCATCCCTGTGGCAGCCTCCACCTCAGTCCATCCTCTCACACTGCTGGCTAGAGACCTTTCCAAAGCAACTCTGTTCCATCTTGGGTGCCATCCTTGAATGGCTGCTCAGGGCCTGCAGAGTAAAGTACACACAGCCCCTCAGGGTGGCTTCTGAGGCCCCTAAAATCTGCTTCCTTTGTCCCTCCCTGGACTCATTTCTCACTTCCCCAGGAACTCAATTCGTTTGGGTTCCTTAGCTGAGCCAGGCACACTCCCCACTTTGGGTTTGGGTTTTGACTTGTTTCTTCTGGGGAGCCTTCTGCGGACACCCTGGGGCGGGAGACGCTGCTTGCTTTTCCCTGCAGCCTGCACTTGGCCTGTTGTACCTGCTCATTTAATCACGTCTTCCCACCTGAGCTTCGAGAAGGGGACACAGGTCCACTGCCTTATACAACCCCTAGCACATGAGACGCACTGAAATGTTGTCTTTTTTATTTTAATTTTTTGAGACGGAGTCTAACTCTGTCGCCCAGGCTGGAGTGCAGTGACACGATCTCGGCTCACTGCAACCTCTGCCTCCTGGGTTCAAGTGATTCTCCTGCCTCAGCTTCCCCAGTAGCTGGGACTACAGATGCCCTCCACCACTCCCGGCTAATTTGTGTATTTTTAGTAGAGACGGGGTTCCACCATGTTGGCCAGGCTGATCTCGAACTCCTGACCTCAAGTGATCCACCCATATCAGCCTCCCAAAGTGCTGGAATTAAAGGCGGGAGCCACTGTGCCCGGCCACACTCAAATGTCTGTTAAAATAATGAACGCCAACAGCTCTTAGCCTTGAATGTATTAATGTGCACCTGAGTTAAACTCAGTCACTCATTGCACCAGGGCCTGCTAGTTCCCTCCAATTTAGAAGGGGAAAAAATGACACAAAACCCTAATAAGCAAGAATGGCCAAGGAGGTTGGGCATGGTGGCTCCTGCCTGTAATGCCAGCAATTTGGGATGCCAAGGTGGGAAGATTGCTTGAGCCCAGGAGTTCAGGACCAGCCTGGGCAACATAGTGAGACCCTATCTCCACAGAAGAATAAAAATATTAGCCAGGCATGGTGGCATGTGCCTGTAGTTCCAGTCTCTATTTAAGTATTTTAGTCTCCTCGGGAGGCTGAGGTGGGAGGATCGCTGGAGCCTGGGAGGTTGAGGCTGCAGTGAGCTGTGATCTCACCACTGCATTCCAGCCTGGGTGGCAGAGTGAGACCCTGTCTCAAGAGAAAACAAGACAAACAGAATGGCTCAGGGATTGAGGCTTTCAGTTCATTTTCTGGTTGGCTGTGAAAAGCAACCCTTTCTGGGTCCCAAGCCCCTACTGACAAGTCACTCTATGTGTCCCATTTCCTGCTTGCCTCTGGCGGTTCAGACTCATGCAGGCCCCCAGACCCTTCTGTGTGCTTAGTATGAGGCAGCGGGCTGCAGGGCCTGTAGACGAAGGGCAGTTATCCCCAGGTAAACCCTGGGAGTCTATGTCTATGGTGTGTGTAGTCAGTTAAACCTGGCAGGTCCAAGCGTGGCAGGGCCTTGCTAGAATGCTCCGTGTGCCCCATGCACCCAAAGGGGTCACACTCTGTGTCCAGTTTACAGGAGAACGCTATCGGGGATGACGGAGCGTGTGCGATGGCCCATGCGCTGAAGGTCAACACAGCCCTCACTGCTCTCTAGTAAGTCCTAGATGTGCGCAGCAGTCAGGAAACCGGCCCCTCCACCATCCTTTCATGTTTTTTTTTTTTTTTTTGTCTCGAGACAAGACTCTTGCCCTGCCGCCCAGGCTGGAGTATAGTGGCGCAATCTCAGCTAACTGTAACCTCCGCCTCGTGGGTTCAAGTGATTCTCGAGCCTCAGCCTCCCAAGTAGTTGGGATTACAGGCGTGCGCCACCACACCCAGCCTAATTTTTGTATTATCAGTAGACGGCGTTTCACCATGTTGGCCAGGCTGGTCTTAAAATCCTGACTTCAGGTGATCTGCCCACCTCAGCCTCCCAAAGTGCTGGGATTACAGGTGTGCACCAACACACCTGACCTAGACGTTATTTTTGTTTACAAGTCAAAGGAGGTGTATTTGATTTTCCTAGTATTATTATAGGAAATATTACATTAGCAACTGGGGGCTCAAACACCTAGATAGTAGTAATGAGGAGGTGCAAGGAGCGTTCTCCCCGAGCCCTTCCAGGGATAGCCTCTATTTCTCGTAACCTTAGCATCCAGATTTCTGTCTTAGGCAACAGTGTAGATAGGAGATGGAGTGCCTAGACATAGCGCTGGCCAACCATTCTCAGTGCTGTTTCTCCACTTTCCACCCTGAATCAAGGGGTGGTGAAAGGGAATGGAGTGTGTGGAGGGAGGTGGGCCCAGCTGACCCATATTGACAGCACCCTCCCCACCCCAGTCTCCAGGTGGCCTCCATTGGTGCTCCGGGTGCTCAGGTGCTAGGGGAAGCCTTGGCTGTGAACAGAACCTTGGAGATTCTTGAGTAAGTATTCCAGTCTCCAGCTATGGTCTTCAGCCCCCCAAAAAACAATGAATCCTTAATGAATAGATATGGGGACAAAGTTTACAGGTAACTCACAAATCATCCTAGTGGTCTTCATTTCGGCACAAGTGTACCAGCTTCCCAGCCCCACTTCATGCCTTTTCCTGGGAGTCGCTATCATTTGCCCTCCTCTCCAGGTTGGCCTCGCCAGGCTGAACACGTCTAGAGGCCCGGTTTATGGGTCCCGGGGTGGCTGATCTTGTTCTCTGGGCAGATCCAAAGTCCTGGGATGAGGCTACAGCTCTGAGGCTCAGGCATGTCCTCAGAATTCCTGCCCTTGCTGGGGGCAGTGCGGACCTGCCCGAATGGAGGGCTGCCTCTCTTATCTTAGCCTTGCTTTTCTGTTTGGAGTGGAAGAGGAGGAAGGCTCCAACAACCCACCTGGCTGGGCCAGCCATGCCCCTTCCTGTGTGCCCTGCTTCCCACAGCCAGCTCTGCCCTGCTGCCCTGGAGTGAGGAAGACAGAGCCCTGCTCTCCTGTGACTGCTGAAGTCCTTGTTTCCTCTACCAAGTAGCCCCAAGCCCACCTGCAGAGGTCAGGATCACCTCTCATCCTGTACCCATGCCTTAGGCTTCCTGTCTTTCCCCACAGCTTAAGAGGAAATGCCATCGGGGTGTCTGGAGCCAAAGCCCTGGCAAATGCTCTGAAGGTAAACTCAAGTCTCCGGAGACTCAAGTAAGTGGCTGGAGGGCCTTACCTGCATCCTGGAGCAGCAGAGTTCTCTGCTGTGTCCTCCTCGACGGGATAAAATGCTCCTGATTTCCTGTAGCTACTTCCTCCTGAATATAATCAGACTTATTATAGTCCACATTCCACTGCAGCTGGGTTTGTTGAGTCTGCTTAGCTTCAGTCAGAAGTCACTCGCATCTGCGTTTATGGTCTTACATCCTCCATCGCACTTGGATGGGACAATCTGGCCACTTGTAGACACCTGTCTCCAGGGTCAACTCCCACCTGGCATTGCCATGGCACTTGTCGATACATCTGCCTGGGTTACTGCCCCCAGACAATGCAGTTGTGCTTCCCCGGATGTTTCCTTCTGCCCTGATGGCTCACCGTGTGTCTCCATCTCTTCTCCACTTAGTCTTCAAGAGAATTCCCTGGGGATGGGCGGGGCGATATGCGTTGCCACGGCACTGTCTGGAAACCACAGGCTCCAGCATATCAAGTGAGTGCACCTGCCCTTCCTGCTTGCCCTTAGAACTGCTTCCAGGCCACGCATTGCCTTTTGCTCAGTTCTGAGAGCCAGCTGACCCCTAGACCCCTCAGCAGCCCTACAGGGAAACCTGGTCTAAGGGGGGCTACCCTGAGCCTTGTCCATGTAGCGAGGGGATCCTAGAAGCACAAAGGCTTTGCATGGGGTCCTGCATTTTCTATCTTATGACCTGCTCTACTAAAGAGAACCTGTAGGCTTCAAGCCCTGCCTTAACTGTTCTCTTCTAGCCTCCAAGGAAACCACATTGGGGACTCCGGGGCCAGGATGATCTCAGAGGCCATCAAGACAAATGCTCCCACGTGCACTGTTGAAATGTGAGCAAAAGGAGTTCCTGGTGGATGGAGCAGGAGGATGGGCAGAGACTCAGCTGGAAGCTTTTGAACAGAAAGGCCGACTTCTGGGGACCTGCTGGGAGCTGGGAACGCTGCTCACTCAGCACGAGAGTGGGGCTCTGCACGGAGAAAGGAGAGGTGCTGCCAGAGGAGGTCGTGAGCTCCCTTCCTGGTGCAGGAGTGGTTCAGGCAGGGGGCGACGGGTACTCTGCTATGGCACAGAGGAGGGAGGGGGCCACCACCAAGGGACTAGGGGACAAAGGCCTGAAGCTCAGCAGTGTAGGAGGCTGGTTCCAGCTTATTTACACCCTGAGTACTTCATATGCCCCCTACCTTTAAAAATGTTTATTACTGCCCCGTTCCACTCACCTGGTTAAAAATCATCCCATGCTCTGAGATAAGCTGCCATCTCAAGCTCGTGAGGAGCATCCATGTGGCAGGGGCAACAGAGGGGACCCTTATTTTTTCAAGAAGAAAGTTTTAGGGTATCATCCTTACAGACATGAAAAAACTATAGGAAAATTGTGAAGATAAATGAGTTTTAATTCTAGCATTCTGGAAACAGAGACAATAGAGTTCTTCAAGGATTCTGCCTTTTTTTTTTTTGTTTTTGAGATGGAGTCTTGCTCTTGTCACCCAGGCTGAAGTGCAGTGGTGCAATTCGGCTCCCTGCAACCTCTGCCTCCCAGGTTCATGTGATTCTCCTGCCTCAGCATCCCCAGTAGCTGGGATTACAGGCACCTGCCACCATGCCCAGCTAATTTTTGTATTTTTAATAGAGACGGGGTTTCACCATGTTGGCCAGGCTGGTCTCGAACTCCTGACTTCAGGTGATCAGCCTGGGCCTCCCAAAGTGCTGGGATTACAGGCGTGAGTCACCGTACCTGGCCCCATTTTTTATTTATTACAAAATCAAAGACGTGGGTGATACCTGGCACATGTTATCTGGAGTCTGGCACACTGGTTATCAATAGCACATTCAATGTATTCAGTGATGTCATTCTTTCTTTAATTTTTTTTTTTTTGAGACAGAATCTGTCACCCAGGCTGGAGTACAGTGGCGTGATCTTGGCTCACTGCAGTCTCTACCTCTTGGGTTCCAGTGATTCTCCTGCCTCAGCCTCCCAAGTAGTTGGGTCTACAGGCACACACCACCACACCCAGCTAATTTTTATATTTTTAGTAGAGATGGGGTTTCACCATGTTGATCAGGCTAGTCTCAAACTCCTGACCTCAAGTGATCTGCCCGCCTCAGCCTCCCAAAGTGCTGGGATTACAGGTGTGAGCCACTACACTTCCTTATTAGGCTTCCAAAGCCACTGCTGTGGCCACAGCTTCCATGGAGACAGGCAAGCTGAGCCTCTATGTGGCACCAATTCCTGCAGCTGTTTGTGTTGGAGGGAAAAAAATCCAAATGGACATCACAGCTCTCATTAACTAAATAACCACAGAAAATATTTATTAAGATTATAAAGCAATGATCACTTCTGAATTTGAAAGGAATCGCTATTTGAAATGTTTCTTCAAAAGTGAGCAACTGGACAGGATGCTGACATGGATGCTAAGGCCATGGCTGAAGGCTTACTTGGGAAGATGATATCCTTGCAGTCTCAAAACAGCACCCCACAAAGGTGATATCCTAATTTACAAAGGGAAAAAGGTACCTTTAATCTGAAATCTGGCAAATGCAGCCTCAACAGAAGTGACAGAATTGAACATCGCCAATAATGGGACACGTGGACATCACGTGCCCCCAGTCTGATGCAGCACGGAGTCGTCTGATGTATTCTTGTCAAAAACTGTTTGCCTGATTCTAATCATTGAAGGGACAATTAGAAAAAAATCCAAATTGACAAATATTCTGCAGAATAAATGGCCTAAACTCATAAAAAACATCAATGTCACGAAAAATGCAAAACGTTGCAGATAGTGTGAAATTGAAGATTACAGAGATATAACTTAATGCAAGATCTTTGACTGGATCCTAGACTGGAGGAAAAAGTCTGTTACAAAGAACATTTGGATCACTTGTAGTAGCTAGGAAATAAAACAAAACAAAACATTATTTGTAAAAGGGGGGAAATCTGAACATGGGTCTTGCAGTATTTATGATGGTTTTTGCTGGGCATAGACTTCTAGATTGACAGCTGTTTTAGTACTTTTAAGGTGATGCTCTGTCTGCCGGTTTGCATTGTTTCTGTCTGAGTTAAGAGCTTAGCAGAACAGAGTTGCAGTAGCCAAACGCTGGAGAAAGCTGGGCCCTACAGAAACCTAACACTGAGGAAACCTCAGGAGCCAAAGTGGTGGAGAAAACAAACAGTCCTCCCTCTCTCCCTTTTCAAATAATGTTCATACATCTTCAAGCTGTCTGAAATGGTTAAAGAGTTCAGTCTGTCATCAGGGACACACCAGAGCCAGCCAGCCCACACAGACCCCATCAGAGCAAAAGAGACAAGACAATTTAATTCATATCCACACAGAAAGGACTTCTAGGTAGGAGATATACCCTTTAGCTCCCTTCCAATTAAAGGAGTCCTCAATTCTAGCACCTGAGAGTCCCCTGGGTCTAACAGCTGTGATATTTATGTAGTGTGTTGCTTACCTAAATGAATACAATTTCCTTCCAGACATGTGACACTGATATTAAAGTGCTAATGAGAGGGATCTGTTTCTTCTTGTCCAAGCTAAAAGAGAAACAGTCGTTCAGATTTCCCATCAGAAGTCCGAGGACTTTGTTCTTGATAACTACTACCAATAAAAATTGAGTATTTGAAAAATTCCTTTGTATTTTCCATCAATACACATTTTTTAAAGCATTTGAGGAAGTCTTCTAATTATATAGTAAAAAATTATCAGCAATGGCCTGCTAGTTTTTTATTGACCTAATCACAACCATCCTCCTTAGGTCCTGAGGTCTGCTCTACTGCTTGGCCAAAACCAAATGGTGCCAGGTCATAAAGCACTTGCACATGTGACTCCTGGATCCATTCTACAATGGGTCACCACTTTAGTAATGACCCACTACAATGGGTCATACTTTAGCAAACACGATAGAGTACAAACAGCTTGTTGTTGACAGAAACTTCCTTGCTCAAGCAAGGCAGTGCTATACATGGTGAGACTTTGCACAAAGTCAGTTAACTAACAGATGATCTAGAAGCAGGTGACACAATGAAATACCCTTTGGAGCTGTTGCCTATGTCTGTGGATGGGCTCTTTGTAGCTAGGTTAGGCTTCTGTGTTAAAGTGCGTTAGAAGAAAGCATCACATAAGGAAAACAGAACTCTATTTGTATGTTTTTTCAAAACAGAAGTCGAGTCACATTCAGGCAAACCAAATCCGTAACATCCAAAAGGTGCAGCGACTCTTCTGCGTCTTGGAACCACGGCGTCTGAGGTGGCTGGCATGGCTCCAACACGCTGGCTTCCCTGTCAGCGGATCGTTTACAATATGGTGCATTTCAAATTACTGGTGAATTCACTGAATGCTGGCCTTTTTTTTTTTTTTTTTAAAGGGGTAATCTTATACATAAAATTTATGAAAAGAAAGAGAAAAAAGCAAAAATGACAGAAATAATTGTCGAAAGTTCCTAAAATTTATGTGTATCTTTTCATACTTGTGAACTCCTGAATAAGTATTTATATCTGACAGGTACAAATAAAATAATTATGCTTTTAAGTAAAACCTATTTAATAATATGAAATATGGTGTTAAATACATTTATTAAAAGTAACTTCAGAAGTCTTCTGACTTTTTAATTGTAAAAATAAGTGAAAACTGTTTTGTGCTTTTCTTTTTAATTTACTGTATGCTTTTTTTTTTTTTTTTTTTTGAGATGCAGTCTCACTCTGTCGCCCAGGCTGGAGGGCAACAGTGTGATCTTGGCTCACTGCAACCTCCACCTCCTAGGTTCAAGTGATTCTCCTGCCTCAGCCTCCCCAGTAGCTGGGGTTACAGGCATGTGCTACCACGCCTGGCTGATTTTTGTATTTTTAGTAGAGATGGGGTTTCGCCACGTTGGTCAGGCTGGTCTCAAACCCCTAACCTCAGGTGATTCACTCGTCTTGGCCTCTCAAACTGCTAGGATTACAGGCGCTGGCCTACTGTATGCTTTTTACAAGCAGTGTGCTTTTATTTTTTTTTTTTTGAGACGGAGTCTTGCTCAGTTGCCCAGGCTGGAGTGCAGTGGCATGATCTTGGCTCACTGCAAGCTCCGCCTGCCGGGTTCACACCATTCGCCTGCCTCAGCCTCCCAAGTAGCTGGGACTACAGGCACCCACCGCCAAGCCCAGCTAACTTTTTGTATTTTTAGTAGAGACGGGGTTTCACCATGTTAGCCAGGACGGTCTCCATCTCCTGACCTCACGATCCGCCTGCCTCGGCCTCCCAAAGTGCTGGGATTACAGGCGTGAGCCACCGTGCCCGGCCTTCTTTTTCTTTTTTTTTAAGATAGGGTCTCACTCTGTCACCCAGGCTGGAGTGCAGTGGCACAATCACAGCTCACTGCAGCCTCGACCTCCTGATCTCAAGTGATTCTCCTGCCTCAGCCTCCTGAATAGCTGGGACCACAGGCATGCCCCTCCACATCTGGCTAATTTTTAAATTTTTTGTAGAGATGGAGTCTCACTTAGTTGTCCAGGCTAGTCTAAAACTCCTGGGCTCAAGTGATCCTCCCACCTTGGCCTCCTGAGTAGCTGGGCCCACAGGCGCTTGCCACCATGTCCAGCTAAGTACTTTTCATATTAAAAAAAAAAAGAAGAAGAAAAAAGAAAAAAACCCAACTCCACTTCTAATTTCACAACAGAAAAAATCTTCTAGTGCTACTACTCTACCTAATTCAATCCTGTGTTGTTGTTTTTTTAAGTCAGAAACAAGAATCTGTACCAACACCTTTTTCTTAATAGGCTCCTTCCCCTACAGAAACACTTAGGTAGCGGGCTGCGGGAAACCTGTTTGTCCCTGTGTTGTGCACCATATCTTTCCACACTTTAGACAAAACAAAGCTCCTTTAGAGAAACTCTGGCTGGAGGGAAGGAGAGTGTCCCGGCTGTCATTGCCACGGGAGTCTGGAGTCTCCAAGAGGGCAGCTCAGGTCACCAGAGTTTCCAAATTTAGTACCAGCCGTGGAAACATGAAGGTGGCTGTAATCCAAGGTGAACTTGACTCCCAGAGGAATGTCAGCTTTGGAGAGAAAATGGAGGATTCCTCATCTGGAGCCTGTCTCTATCGCCTGATTTTCAAGGAAACCCAGTTTTCATTTAACTTTAGCTAAGCTTCTTTCAGAAAATTGTAGTAATTAAAATACATTTAATGTCTGGTATTGTGAACATGCAGAAGAAAGAAAGATGACAAAATGAAGTAAGGGCTAGAATTAAAAGCCGAAGCACAGGAAACGTTCTCAACTGTGCAAGTGATTAACAGCCAGATGTCCCCCTACGATTCCGAACATGAGTTCCCAGTGCCAAGTTCTAGCCTCAACTCTGCTGGACTCTCGGAGAAAATGTATAGTAAAAAAGCAGCCAAGACTTGTGTAGCGTCAGCTCTTATTTCTCCTTGAGATTTTGTCCCGTGGATGTGAATCACTAAGAACACATGCATTCCTCAAGTTTTAGGAGATAAATAAGGTGAAAAAAAAATCTTAGGGATTTGTTTCAATTCTTATTTAAGCTTCATGGAATGCAAACATAGGAGGCTGAAGCAGAAATAAGTATTGCTTCGGTAATCATGAGTCCAGCCAGCTTAGTGAACAAAACAGGTGTTACCTTCCTAACCTTCTAAGTTCCCATTTACCTACAAGTCTGAGGGTTTTAATCTGCCAGGGTCCCTTGGCAAGAGGGTCAGAAGTCATTGTCACTCTCATCCAGGGGTTCAGGTTTCCGGACCCTTGGACTGGGCTTGGTTGGTGAGAAAGAAATGCTCTCATCTTCCAAATCATCATCCTCATCATCATCATCATCTTCCATGTCGATTTCACTCTCCTCCGAGTCCTCCTATAGGGAAAAAATGGCAGATGCAACAGGGGGTTCCACCTCATTCCTGACATCTTATCCTAAGATTCTCTGCCTCCCTTTCTATAGCACCATCCCTGTGTGAAGGAAGAGGCCGGCAGAGTGGCAGGCAGGCTGTGGGAGGGCATATGGATGGGACCGAGGTGATGTACTCCTGGCTGGAATTTATCATCCAACCAGAACCCTCCAAACTCCAGGTGCATCTGAGTGTGGTGCTGCAGGGGCTGGCTTTCCCACAGTGTCTCAGAAGCACTCTGGATCTGCATTGAGGGCCAATGGACCCAGAGACTCTCCCTACCAATGGCAAGAAGGACAGGGGCTTGGAGACAGGGAAGGGAGGCCTATTTTGGCTTTTTGCAGATTGTGGATAAAAAGCAACACAGGCATGGGTATAAGGAGTGAAGTGAATCCCAGCTACTCAGAAGGCTGAGGCAAGAGAACTGCTTGAACCTGGGAGACGGAGGTGCAGTGAGCCGAGATTGTACCACTGCACTCCAGAGCAAGACTCCGTCTCAAAAAAAAAAAAAAGAAAGGGAGCAAAGTGAAAGACACACCTTCTCCCTCCTCATCAGATCCAGGGCAACAACTCAGCCCAGCTTTAAAACGGCAAGTCCTGCGTCCCATGTAAACCAGGATGGCTGGTCGTTCTATCTAGATCATTCCCATCGGTGCACACAAATGCTGTAATTTCCTTCTTGGAAAAAAACCCAAACGTAATCCCATTTTCCTCTCCAGCTGCTCTGCCCTGTCTCTCTCCCCTCACACAGAGCTCCTGAGCGAGTCGTTGAACTCACTGTCTGCACCTCTGCCCCTCACGAATGCTTCAGTTCCCCCGGACTCTCACCCACTGACCCCAGCACTGCTCCTATCACGACGGAAACACGCAATGGATTAGGATTGATTCTCAGGCCTCATTCTGCTTGGGCTGTGGAATCACCCCTTCATCCTTAAAACCCATCTTCTCCATCCCCCAGGGCCCCTTCTCTAGTCCAGGTCCCCCTCCCTCACTGCTGACGCCCCCCAGCCTCCCCTGCCTGCCCCTTCCTCCCTGACCTCTGCAGGGCAGGTGCACGCAGGACCTTGGGTCACCTCTCTTCTCGTTCTACTTGCTCGCCCTAGGCAGTCACATCTATCCTTGTGGCTTAGGTATCAACCAAATAAGAGTGGCTCCCAAAATTCAATATCTAGCCCAGACCTGGCTCTTGAACTCCAGACTTAAATTCCACCTGACTACTCAACCCTAGCATGTGGCTGTCACACTCAGAATGTCCAAAACCAAACTTTCGATCTGCCCTCCAAGCCCCTTTGTCAAGTCGGCCCCATCTCAGAAAATGAAACTCTGCTTTCTGCTGATTAGACCCCGCCCAGGCACCCTCATTTCTCTCTTTCTCTAACAGCCTGTGTCCAACCAATTCACAAAACCTGATGGTTCTTAGAGACAGACCCAGGACCTGACCACTTCTCAGCACCTCTGCTGCCACACCTTCGGCCAAGCACCATCACCTCTGACCTCCACGGGTGCAGGCGCCTCCTAACCGACTTCTCTCAAATGGGTGTCAGCTCTTGACCCTTCCGGGCTCACGATTCTCCAGAGTCTCCCCATCACACTCAGAGAACAGAGTCTTCATCTCACCCTGCAAGGCTTTGCGTGGCCCCTGCTGCCTCTCACGCTCACCCACAGTCACACCAGCTGCCTCTGCTCCTCAACGTGAGGAGCACATTCCACATGCCCAGGTGCCGCCAACCCACGGACTCGCTCCCTCCACTCAGGCCCTGCTCAAACACCACCACGTCAGAGCCCTTTGCTGAGCTCGTGGAAGATGCCACCCCCTCCTTGTTCCCTGTCACTCCCTGTCCCCTGAAGCTGTTATTCCTTCCGTTAACACCATGAGCCTTGGATCCGCCACTCCATCATTATTGCTGGGGGCTTGTGTCTGCCCCCTGCTGCGTTCCCCATAATCCATGACAGCACTGGCATGTGGCAGGCACTCAACAGACACGTGTTGGATGCCTGAACACGTAAAGCACGGAACCCTGTGCCTGGAGGGCTGCATGGACACAGCCTCCTTGAAATAAACCAGTGAGCACCAGGCATAAAGCTCAGCTGCGACTAATGCATTCGCTCTGAGAGAAGGCACACCTTGGAGAAGAGACGGGCGGTGCTGCTCCAGCATCCCCATGCCACACTCCCTCTGCTTCTCTCTTGGATGGGCAAGACAGAGAGAAGCTATTTACCAACCACACCCGAGTTTGTTAAGAAAATTATATTCTAGTTGCTCTCTCTGCTTCTCTACAGACCGTGCCTTATGAATTCAAGGCCTGATCTCTGTGCCTCCTGCCGGCAAGCCTGAGCGGCCTCTCCCCACTGTGAGTTCCGCAGCAGCACAGGCTGCGGATGCGTGAATCCGTGTGCAAGAAGGCAAGGCCCTGTTTCTGTCTCTGTGCAGCCACTAGCGCCATGCCACAGACACAGGTGTATCCACCAATGGAGGCGGCCTGGGGTCAGTCTCTGTCTAGTCGCCCTTCGCTGTGTGGGCTGAGCAGCACTGCCAGGGATGCAACAAAGAACGCAGACTTGAGTAATGCCCAGCAGAGCCCTGATGACCGGATCCCACCAAGGTCCCCCAGACTCCCCTTTTGGTTAAGTGCTCCAGGGAGTTATCCACTCAGTAAAGCTCAAGGCAGCCTGATGTCTCAGCCTCATGCCTAGCACCCCAGAGGCCTGGTCTGGGGACAGTGCTGCTTCACCATTCCTTCCCCAGCACAGAGCAGGGAGGAGGGCTGGTCCTGTGCCCAGCCCTCGGCGTCCTCCTTCATTTCTAGGTTACGGCCCAGGGCCTAAGGACTGCCAGCCTGAGCTTTCCCCATCTCCAGGCTCAGTGCTTGCGCCTCCTCTTTAGCATAAGGGCCTTCAGTGATCCCGCTGTCACCATGGGATCCCTTTTGAGTGGCTTTCTGCCCAGGAGAGAGGAAGCAGCACTCCTAGGGAGAGGCCCCTGGCTGGCCCTGGAAGGGCTGACAGACACCCACAAACACATGAGGCAGAACAGAAAACCAACCTGCTTCTTGGAGTTGGAAGTCTTGCATTTACCTAAGAGAGCTGGTGCTGCTTCCATCTTTGGAAAGCGAGAATGGAAAGAACAGTGAGAAGGCGAAAAAAGCAGAGCAAGCACATTCACTTGAAAAGAAATGAACCATCCACGAGCAAGGAAGAGTCCAGAGCCTCATGAGGCCAAACCTTGCCATGCATCGAGGCATAGCTGGACTGACCACAGACGGCTCCCTGGCTGCTGGCAGCAACTCAGCCACTCCCATCTATGGGACAGCCAAGCCCAGAGCACACAGAACCGCTGAGGGGAGCAGGGGACTTACATTGTCATCGGAGTCTCCACCTTGCATCGTGCCCACAATGCGTTTGCCGGGTCTTCCTGAGAATAACAAAAGCATGAAGAAGTCATAAAGATCTTGGAAAATAAAGCAGGAAATAGCATTCAAGATTTGTTTTCTGACCAGGCATGTTGGCTCATGCGTATAATCCCAGTACTTTGGGAGGCTGAGACAGGAGGCCAGGAGTTTGAGGCCAGCCTGGGCAACATGATGAAACCTCATCTCTACAAAAATTTTTTTAAAAAATTAGTCAGGTATGGTGGTTCACACCTGTAGTCTCAGCTACTTGGGAGGCTGAGGCAGGAGATTCGCTTGAAACAATGAGGCAGAGGTTGCAGTGAGCTGAGACTGTGCCTCTGCACTCTAGTCTGAACAACAGAATGAGACTCTGTCTCAAAAAAAAAAAAAGTAACAGTGCTCCAAACATTAACAGGTGGTAGATAAGAAATGTTTTTAAAGGCAAATATAGGAGAATTTTGTAGTATTAAATCAAAAATTTGCAGAACCTTTGACTTAAGAATTTGACTTTCAATGATGCAACCTAAAGATAGGCAGACATGGCCGGGCGTGGTGGCTCAAGCCTGTAATCCCAGCACTTTGGAAGGCCGAGATGGGTGGATCACCTCAGACCAGCCTGGCCAACATGGTGAAAACCCATCTCTACTAAAAATACAAAAACTAGCTGGGTGTGGTGGTGCAGGCCTGTAATCCCAGCTACTCCGGATTATAGGAGAATCGCTCTCTCCGGGAGGCGGAGGTTGCAGTGAGCCAAGATCATGACATTGCACTCCAGCCTGGGGACCAAGAGCGAGACTTTGTCTCAAAAAAAAAAAAAAAAAAAAAAAAAAGTAGGGGGCAGATCTATTACTGACAAAAGAAGATTTCCAATTGTATTTAATTTTTAAAAACAAAAGCAAGTTGCAGAACCATACATACCGTCTGGTTGCACTCAGGTTAAATTTTTCAGGTGATCTTTGTGTGTGTATGTGTGTGCGTGTGAGTGTGCATGTGTGTGCATATGTATATGTACAGAAAGGTAATCTGTAAAGACACACCCACCCTGGCCACTAGCCATGAGCCCTCCCAGGTGGGAGTGGGACATGAGGAAGACCCTAGGGCAGCATTCACATTCGCTCTACAAATGTTGTTGCCTGAGTCTTTTTATGTTTTAACTTAGTTTTAAGAGCCCCTCTATGTCGCCAGGCCACTGTGCAGTGGCTATTGCCAGACACAATCATCACACACTGCAGCTCCGAGCTCCTGGACTCAAACGATCCCCCGGCCTCAGCCTCCTGAGCAGCTGGGAATAAGGCATGCGTGACTGCGCTGAGCTTTGTTACTTGAATCTTTTGTGATGAGTAAAGGAATTAGAAAAACATTTTTTTTAAGGCAGAGATGCTCATTTAAGTCCCTTTCTGCATTAATTCTCAGGCTATTAGGTATATCATTGCACTGACAGTGGCAGAGGCAATGTGTTCTTGTGGCTGTGTGAGAAATACCAAGCCATAAATATGAACCATCCAGTCTTGGGATCACAGACAAGTAAGAATATTAGGAGCAAACATGACCACTGAACAGTTCAAGAGCCATAAACAACAGGACAGGATAAACCTGAGCAAGAGCTGCTTCCAGGGGCCATTCACAGTGCGCTTGTGGGCCTCAACACTAAGCAGCCTGCCCCAGTTCTGGCCAGGTGTTCTGTGAAACGGGGCACAGGGAGGAAGGCCAGCGAAAGATGCGGGGGTACCTTGCATGAGCACCTCCATGGCTGTCCGCGGCTTGGGCAGCCGCCTTTCTTCCAACTCACTGTCAGATTCGTCATCCTCCTGGATGTCTATGTCCAAGTCATCGTTACCTGGCAGGAACACAAGCAGGCAAAACAAAGGAGTGGCTTCATCATCACAACTAAACAGCTCTGCCCAGTAAGGTTTGCGTGCATTAGCCTTTCTTTGGATGCATTAGATTTTATAAGACTCTCTGGATTTGCCTGTAGATGCATAGTGAAGAATTAATGTGGACAATGATGTGCTGTTTTTTTAAAAAAAATAATTTTCCAAAGCAAGGAAAAAGTGGGTCGGATATATTAGTTAGAAACACTATTACAGTCATCAGAACAGCGACGCAAACGCCTCCAATTCCATCCTTCTAAAACTTGCATGGCTCCCTGGGTGCAGAGAAATCAGGTGCCAAGCAGTGAAGTTTTTACATATTCTCTGCAAAGACTTTTGGAAGATAGTTTTCAAATTAATTGTGTTGAAGCCCTTGAAGAAAATCTGAAAATTTAAAAACTGAATAGCCAGCTGTCAAGTGCTTGGTTAGTTCAGGGAAAAACCCATTCTCTGACTAATGTTAGGCTGCGTTACCAGAACTCAAGTTCCTAGATCGTGACAAAGATGAGGAAGTGGAGGCTGCTAATAAGGTAACACAGCAAGACTGGAGGCAGGGTGGCCAGGCTAGGAATGGCACGAATGGGGCTGCCCTGAGGAGAACGATGATCTTAGTGACTGGCAGTGAAAACTGGTGATGTGATGTTCTCCCCTGGGGAAAATCCCATCACAAAGATAGATTTTTTCCAAAGTAATTTTTTTTTTTTTTTTTTTTGAGACGGAGTCTTGCTCTGTCGCCCAGGCTGGAGTGCAGTGGCCGGATCTCAGCTCACTGCAAGCTCCGCCTCCCGGGTTCACGCCACTCTCTTGCCTCAGCCTCCCGAGTAGCTGGGACTACACGCGCCCGCCACCTCGCCCGGCTAGTTTTTTGTATTTTTAGTAGAGACGGGGTTTCACCGTGTTAGTCAGGATGGTCTCGATCTCCTGACCTCGTGATCCACTCGTCTCGGCCTCCCCAAGTGCTGGGATTACAGGCTTGAGCCACCGCGCCCGGCCTATTAATTTCTTAAATACATTCTTTGGAGTCTTACACCTATAGGCTGAATATTTCCTAAAGGGAACCTATAGAAGGAGTCTCCACTGTGGGGAGAAAGACCTTTCACTGCCTGGCACCTGATTTCTCTGCACCCAGGGAGCCACACAGGTTTTGTAAGGACGGACTTGAAGGACCCTGTTCTGATGATTGACTCAGAAGTTAGTTTGGAAGAACAGTAATTGTTAGTCTGCCCAAAGGCTTTGCTATGCCCCTACTATAAGAGGGTAATGTGGCCGGGCGCAGTGGCTCATGCCTGTAATCCTAGCACTTTGGGAGGCTGAGGTGGGCAGATCACCTGAGGTTAGGAGTTTGAGACCAGCCTGGCCAGCATGGTGAAACCCTGTCTGTACTAAAAATACAAAAACTAGTCAGGCGTGGTGGTGCGCACCTGTAGTCCCAGCTATTAAGGAGGCTGAGGCATGAGAATTGCTTGAACTCGGGAGGTGGAGGTTGCAGTGAGCCGACATCACACCACTGCCCTCCACCCTGGGCAGCAGAGCGAGACTCCGTCTCAAAAAAAGAGAGAGTAATGAAATGGTAACAGTATCTAGCTGGGCACCGTGGGAAGGTTTTCTGCTTTCTTTAGCCATGGAGAGAAGAGCTGTGCTTTATAGTACAGGAAGGGCCAACCTAGGAGCTGGAGAAAGTGTCAATAACAACATCCCGGGCTTCTACACAATTACTTTGAAACCTTCTGAAAGTCTTTACAGAGAATATTATTAAATATTAACATCAATTAATGACTACAAAATGAAACCACTATTCAGCTTAGTTCATTTCTTATGCCATCCAGGAAATTAAGACATTAAATCCTTATCCCATGCAATGCAAATCAAATTATATAATCAATTTTAAAATAAAATTAATACATGTACCTCAGGCTCAATAAAATTTCTTCTTATAACTCAAACCAATACAGACTTGAGAAGTGAGCAGGTAAACTAAAGTCAATTGCTATCATATGATTTCAATGTGTCTCTGAAAAGCACGCGTTGGAAACTTAAATCCCAATGCAACAGTGTTGGGAGGTGAGGCAGATTGAGAGGTGTTTAGGTCACGAGGGCTCCGTCCTGAAGAACACACTAACGCTGGTTATAAAAGCGCTTGAGGCTGTGGGTTTCATCTCTTGCTCTCTCTCCCCCTTTCTTTGCCCTTCTGTCATGGGATGGTGCAGCAAGATGCAACTCCTTGATCTTGGACTTGCCCCCAGAACTGTGGCTCATTAAGTTTCAGACAAGTAAATTTCTGTTTATAATGATAATAATATAAACTAATACTAATATATTATATGTTATATAATTGTCATATGTTATATATGGCAGTATATGTCATATTATGTGTCATATATTATATATTATATATATGTCATATATTATATATTTTATATATATGTCATATATCTATAAACACACACACATACAGACACATACAAAACTAGCCCTCTGTATCCATGGATTTCACATCCATGGGTTCAGCCAACCATGGATCTGAATTATTTGGAAAAAAAATCTACAATTATTTGGAAAAAAAAAAATCTACAAAGTTCCAAAAAGCGAAACTTGAATTTGCCACATGCCAAGTACTATGCTGAATCCATGTGAATGAAGTGATATATAGGCATTATGTTAGGTATTTTATGTAACCTAGAGATGATTTAAAGTATACAGGAGGATGTGCATAGGTTATATGCAAAAGACTTGAACACCTGTGGATTTTGGTATCCACAGGTGGGTTCTGGTACCAGTTCTCCACAGATATTGAGGGATGACTACATGTATCCATATATATAATGCTGTATATATTTTATGTAAAATATATAATTACCCAGTCTCAGGTATTCTGTTATAGCAGCACAAAACCGACTAAGACATTAATGCATGCTGACACTGAAACCACTGAGCTGACAGTGACAATTAAAATTAAGTATGGCTGACCACATGCCAGTATAATTCAATGGAGAAATAATAGTCTTTTCAACAGATGATAGTAGGATGACTGAACAGCCACATGCAAAAGAATGAAGTTGGACCCCCTGTCTCACACCATATATAAAAATTAACTCAAAGTGGATCAGAGACCTAAATGTAAGAGCTAAAACTACAGAACTCCTAGAAGAAAACACAGAGGTAAATCTTGGTGAATAAAGCAAGATCAGCATGACAGGTCTTAGCATCCTGGCCCAGGGACAGAATGGGATGCAAGTAACCAACCAGGGCTCCTACCTGAGTTGGGCCTCTCACAAGGGACAAACCTCATACAGGCTGATCACTGAGGGCTGCTTCTCATGCTCCTGGCTGACATGGAAATAAAAAGGGGAGGGCTGCTTTGGCTAGACATGCCCTTCAAATTTCCTAACCTTGTTCCTGGAGGACTTCCCAGCAGTCCCTATCCTTCCTCCAGGGTTTCCTGAGATTCAGACGACAGAGTCATAGAACAGGTGCAAAATGAGAGAGATACAAGGGAAATGGCAAAGAAAGAGAAAGAGAGAGAGAGTATGCTGCCCTCAACATGAGATCAAACAGAATATTTCGCCATGAAGAAAAAAAAAAGAGCAATCAGCAAGAGGAGGAGGAACTCTGTGCAAGAAGGCTGTTGATTGAGCAGGAAGATCCTGGGCTGCTACTGGTCCCTGACAGTGACTTGACACTGAAGTTCAGGGATAAGGGAAGCTGCCTGGTCACAGAGAGCTCCTTCCTGGAATCTCGGCCTTGTATGGACATAACCCTGTGTCTCTCCAGCTGAGTGTCTTGCTGAGCCATTCTGGATTATGGGGGGCATCTCAGCGGCATGGGGACCATCATGAAGCGAGTGGCCCCTCTCCCTGCACTGCATCCCAATGCTTGTTTTCCATCAGTCAGCCTGAAAATACAGAACCCTACACACCTCTAGGACCACCTTTTCTTACAGTTACACATCATATATAATTCAAACTATAATTTAAACAGGGGAAAACACTATCTTAACTGGCACAAGAATGAAATGTGTTTTAAATGCTATATTTAAACCAGACTCTTGAGTGAATACAATGGTACACAAAATAGAAGTTGTGAGAAAACTGCCTTTTGAAAATATTTTTGTACCTATAGTCAACAATATTTTATTATACTTTTCAAAATTGAAGATGTAAAGCGAAGTGTTATTACAGTAAAAAAAAAAAAAAACTGCTGAAAAAAAGAAGAAAACACATATTTAAATATATATATATACACACACACACACACATACACACACATATATCTCAAGGCTGAAAATGCTAGTCCAGAGTAAACTGCTCATCTACAAAGCCCAGCCTTACTTGCACTCTTCAGCAGGCGCTTCTCTTCCTCCTTGAGCTTGTTCTGTATCAGGCAGAGAGTATTTTTAGCTTCCTGTGGAAGAGGAAAAACAGACTCAGGAGAGACGGCCCTTTTCTGGACTGTTCTATTCTTCACCACTGCGTAAGGACTGCTAAGTTTGTGCTACAGAACAAAAAAAGAACTAAACTCAAGGAAGGGGAAGAGAATTAACATGGCCTGAGCAACTCCAGGGTCCCGAAATTTACTGCCCTTTCTCTCTGAGGTCACCTGGTGGCCTGGTGGACACGGGCACCCAGAATGAAGCAGCTGCCCCACCCCCATGCTTCTCCAACTACACTTCCCTGCCTCTGAGGAGAACTAAATGCCCACCATGCGTGCCTGTATGGCCTGGGGACACAGAACAGACACATCTAATTTTAGGGTAGAGACAGGCCTCTTGCTTTCAAAGGAAGAAAGTATAGATTTTATCATTTATCTTTCCTGCCCTGCCTTCAGATTCCAGCTCAAAAGATGCTAAATGGTAGGATAGGTAAGGATGGGAATAGGGGTGGGGAAAAGAGGAAACATCTCAGATCATAAAATATGGCCTTATTATCAAGAAAGAAAATGGGGGCTGGGCGTGGTAGCTCACACCTGTAACCCCCATGCTTTGGGAGACCAAGGCAGGAGGATCACTTGAGCCCAGGAGTTTGAGACCAGCCTGGGCAACATAGGGAAACCTCATCTCTACAATACATTTTAAAAATTTAGCCAGGTATGGTGGCACGTGCCTATAGTCCCAGTTACTCAAGAGGCTGAGGTGGGAGGATCACTTGAGCCTAGGTCTGAGGCTACAGTGAGCTATGATCACACTCTGCACTCCAGACAGAGTGGCAGGTAACACAGTGAGACCCTGTCAAGAAAGAGAAAGAGAGAGAGAGAGAGGGATGGGGGGTGCAAGGTGGGGGAGGGACAGACAGAGGGAGGAAGCTGGCTTTAAATATTGTTGTTGTTTTAAACATTAAAAATAAAGCACTGTGTTTCAGTCATGGGGTATTTCGAGGGAACAGGTATTCTAAGGACAGAGTGCGAGAGTGAGTAAGAGAAAAAGAGATGTACTCGTTGAAGGAAGGGTAGGGTAGAGGGCTCCCCCGGAAGTGTCCTGGGCCACCTATCCGCCATTCTGAGGCATACTGTTTGGTTTGTTCTCTGAACCCAGAGGTGGCCCCAGATAATACAACAAAATGTTTCTTGTCACTGCCCTTGACTGTTCTTTCCCAGGTACCCAATGTTTAAAATGTTCTAAACTCCAGGCTCTTTCCAGTGCCCTTGAAATGTGCCTGTCCTGTACCATTTCTCCATGGCCTGCCTCTGCCACAGAGTAATGCTATTAATGAATTCCTCGTCAAGATGACATGTGTCCACATGGATGCATTAGGTACTCCCAGTTAGCCCTACTGGACAACACACTAGCTCTGCCCAACTCAAATGCTCAGAATTGTAAGAAGCCTAGTATAACCTTAATGCCAAAAGCTGTCAAGGGCATGAGAAGGGGAGACTGCAGACCAATTTCATCATGAAAATGGAGTCTAAAAGACCATTCTCAGGTTAAGGATAGGGCAATTCAAAAATTGATCACAACTTGGTTCAATTTCTTTCGCTCTAAATTCCACATTTATCAACTCATGCTCAGATCTGAAATACTCTTTCCTAAATGGCCTTACCCACAGGGATGAAAGGAACCTGTAAGATGGTTGGTTAGGTTCAAGGCCACATATATTTCCCACAATCAACCAATAAACTGCCATTCCTCTTTACAAAACAATCTCCAATGAGCTATTTTGGTGATTCAATTCACCATAATTCGAAAATCCTTTTTTTCTCTTTTTTTTTTTTTTCTATTGAGACGGTGTCTTGCTCTGTTGCCCAGGCGAGTGCAGTGGCACGATCTCTGTTCACTACAACCTCCGCCTCCTGGGTTCAAGCAATTCTCCTGCCTCAGCCTCCCAAGTAGCTGGGATTACAGGCGCCCGCCACCATACCAGATAAATTTTGTATTTTTAGTAGAGGGGGTTTCACCATCTTGGACAAGCTGATCTCAAACTCCTGACCTCGTGATCCACCCACTGTGGCCTCCCAAAGTGCTGGGATTACAGGCGTGAGCCACCACGCCAGGCCCCCCTCCCCGCTTTTTTTTTTTTTTTTTTGAGACAGAGTCTTGCTCTGTCAACCAAGCTGGAGTG